CCCCAAAACCCCAAAACCCCAAAACCCCGACTAATATCAATATTTGAAAAAAAATTATCAAATATTAGTGGTAATTAAACTATATTTTAATGTTCTCAAAATTTAATCATTAAACTACTTAAATATCATTTCAGCCGAATATATCCTCTTAACTATAGACTAGATAAAGATGTCCATCCTTCTTGTCCTAGTAATTCTTATATGTATTTATCAGAAGATTTGAATGATTTTGTGCGATAATTCTTGTTTTCTATATATATATATAAGTGAGATTTAACGTAGATATTACTTACTGTCAGCAATCCCTTATTGTCATAAATATAATCCAGAGCATAGATAATTAGAGAAGTATATTTAGATTTATTCAATTATTTTCTTATATAGGCTAAGATCTCACCTATTGTTACAGCTTCTTTCTAATCTTTGAAAAGTCTAATCATAAATGAATAGTTAAGACTAATATCATTAATACCTTCTCTTCTGTAAACGTGGCAATTTTTAGAAGGTCTTTGTCTGAGCAGGTTCCAATACTAGGAAAAACATTTTTTAATCCATAACTTCTTTATTTTTTTAATAATACTTAATCCTTTACCCTAAAATATTAGCTCTACAGTACTGATTTTAAATTACATTCTGGATATTGTTCTCTAAAACTCAACTCAACAATACTTCCTTTGCTTTTGGATCTTTAAACTATGTTCTAACTACTACTTTCCTTATTATTCTTCTCCTCCTCAGCGGATTTCAGATTTTCTAAATTAAGTAATTAGGATAATATTACTATAAGAAACTAGATTTTTTGAATCTCTCTTTTATTACTCCAGAGATTCATCACAGTGTTAATCGTCAGGAAAATCCATATCACACACTTCGAATTGCTTAATAGATTCCACAATGCCAGCATCTCCAGCTCATTTTTCTTCAAATATATTATCCAGATTACTATCCTTATTCTCTTCATTTTTTTCAAAATTTTAATTTATTGCAAGGCTATCTTAATCTGTAGCAGTATAATAAACAGACATTTTCAAATTTTATTGCAAAATAATTAATAATAATTTCCTATTTTGATCAATATCTAAGTTAATGGGGTTTTGGGGTTTTGGGGG